ATGGCTACGGAGTGAGAGAAAAGACGAAGAGGGCATTGCACCTGCACCCCCCCCAAGTGTCCAGCAAAAACTGAAGGATTTGTCCATTCTCCCAAAGTCCCTGCCCGTTTGGCTCCAGCTCCAGTCAAGTCCAACAAAGAGTTAAGCATTTTAAATTCTACAGTCAAGCTAAACTGTTCTTGAAATTCAGCTGGCAGCCGGCCTGGCTAGTCATCCGTCGATTTGATGTGTGCTTCAAGAATCTGGCCCATACACACAAACTGCGAGCCAGGACACCCAAACAAAAACACAGAAACCAAGAACCAGTCTTGGCAAGTGAAGTTTACAGCTTCACTGCGGCCCAGTCGTGTACGGTGGTCCCCGTCCCTCCACTGCTGTGCTACTGTGACGCTTTAATGTGAACTGAGAGGTGAAACCACACGTCTGTGTTGAAGGATGTCATTCTCGTATTTGACATGATAGTGTTGATTTATAGTGTCAAAAAATAATGTGTGTGTGTGTGTGTAGGTGCGGTGTATTTTTCTCATGAATCGGAGGCTGCACGTACTGAATGAGTAAACTACTAACTCACTACATGCACGCGTGCACAAAGCAGTGGTGTATTGGGTTAGTGGGTAAAAGGAATTGGGTTGAGTCTTCACTGTGTAACTGCTCACAACATTTTATTTTTTGCCTATGTTATGCTCAAGTGTTGAACCTCACAGAATAAACGGCTTTATTATATCCTCTTAAATATAACACTCTTACAAAAAAAAAGAAAAATCACTTTCAGCAACCCCTGCAACGCTTCGCACTTTGAAGGTGCTGCCGACAATTTGGTTTTTTTTTTAAAAAGGGAAACAGAAAAGGTCAAGCTGAATCAATACAAACGTTGCACTTTGTGTGAAATGACTCACCTCACTGTCTGTATGACAAAGCCCAGCGACTCTGTAGTGTAAAAGCTCTGCTGTGAGAATAAACCTGGAAACTCTTTTATTGCTTTAGATTGAGACGTGTGACGCTTGATTTTCAATGACGCTACAGCAGGTAAGATTCATTCTTCTGCTCCTGAACATCTGCCCTCTCTATAATCCCACAAATTATCACCGAGCTGCAAATGGAAAATAAGCAAAGACGAAACAATCCTAAAAAACCTTGAAAAGCTCACTCAGCTCTGCGAGTATGTAAAGTAACTTCACCATCACCGACGACTCGGATATTATTTTCTACGTTTTTCTATACGGAAAAATGCAAGGCCATAATTTCCATGGCTGGTGTCTAGAACACAATAGAAAAAAAAATGTAAAACACCAAGGATTCTTCTGAAGAATTTCATCAACGTATACGTTAAAAGATGTTAAAGGATCGCTCACACAGCAACACAATGCATGTAACGCAGTGTTTCAGGCGGGTTTCTGTAGTGTGAACTCACTAAAGCAAAATCCATATCAAGTCTGTTGAAATGGGAAATAAAATACTGAATGTTGAAATAAGCCCTTAAACAACACCGTCAAACTGTAGTTATTATCAACATGCCACAAGAACTGATATCGAACATAATATATTACACACACACACACACACACACTCATTTCACTTTTAATTACACTAAAGAAATTGTCATCTTTAGCAAATTATGAAATTACACGGATGACAAATACAGTGATCCAGAAAGAAAAAAAACCCTTTCATCAGTATCAGTAATTCATCTATCAGACTGCATCCTTCACGCTGACACGATTTACCTTTCCAAATACAAATGTTAAAAGTTCAGCAGCTTATTGTGTATCTGTTTTAAGGTTTTGAGAGTTGCACTGATAAAATAATTTAATGCCTGATGTATCAATTAAAAAACTCGCCCACTGGACCAGCAAAGATTTTTAAACATATTTTCTATTTTTACGTCAGTATCATGATGTGCAACTTATGTAGTTGTAATTTTTTTGTAAATAAAATTCTTAAATTCTTACATTACATGTGCCAGAGGTGAATGCGAATGTGTCTAGACTCCCTACATTCACATTAACACATAAAAACAAACATGAATGCTTTTTTAATCGCGTGTTCTTGTTGCACCGGCTTCTGCTATCGGAGTGGTTTAATGGGACCTGACTGGAATTTTTTTTAATTATTATTATTTTGTGTTTATTGGATAGTGACAGTGGAGAGTGACGGGAAATGTGGGGACATGACATGCAGCTAACAGTCCGGTTAGCCAGGAATCGAACCGGGGGGGGGGGGGGACTCACTGCTCAACAGTTGTTTGTGCCCCCACCTACTGGAAAATTTGCCGCCAGTTGTTTATCTCCACGAACCAGCTCCTAATATTCGATTAGATTCATTTGCACTTTCTTGTGCTTTGCGCTACGTTTGGAGGGAAACCCGACGACTGGCGCTGCCCTTTGTTCCAGGAGGAGAACGGGGAACACGGAGGCGGCAGTGACGGGACATTTACAGGCGTAAGGGGCTCAGTGTCTCAAACCCCGCAACAGTGACTGATAGTGGCACAGCATCCCTCCTGAGACATATCCAAATATGGCTGCACGGTGACGTCATGTCGCCGACAGACAACATGGCATCAGATCATCAAACATGCTCACGCTGTGGGACTGTGTGCGTCTCCTTTGATATCTGGCGGTGTTAGCGGTTGCTGCTTTGCCACACTTTCGCCTATATTAGAAAAAAAGAAGCAGCTCTTTTTGTCGCCCCCCCGTGTCTCTGAGGGCGCGAATAAGTTTATCATTTCTAGAAGAATAAAAGTGTGTTAATGAAAGCTGTGGCAGGACGGAGGCTTCTTGCACCACCTGTTCAGCATTTTCATATTTAGTGAAGAAGAGCTCAGGTTCCCATATGAGCACCTTACCATCTGTTTCAAAAATCACAGTTAGGTATTCAACAACAGTGCATGCTTTGCTAAGCACAGACACCTCAGAGCTTTTCTAATTCCAGCGTCCGCACTGACAGTCTGTGCAACACGGTATATTCTGTATATTCTGTATATTCTGTACATTTAAGACGAGCACATCTGTGTCACGGCAGCAAATAATCTGATGGTATTTATGTGAGACAGGACCAAATAACAAAAATCAAGCATACACACCGCTCCATTAGAATTAAAACCGCACAAGCATGACTGGAAAAAAAGAAAAAGAAAAAGTGATGAAATTATATCTTACATCAATTATAGCAAGGACCATTAGTGTTATCAGGACATGCAAACACAGTTTTGATGTGGCTGTTAAGGGAGTTCTCAGCAGCTTATCAGAAAGAACGCCAACAAAGAGTCAGCTAATTAGCAGATAAAGACAAAGAATCATTGTAGGCTAAGCTAATTTACCAAATTCATCCTTAGTGTGCAGCAACAAGGTCTACAAGCATGTTTCAGTTCTAACAGGTATTTTTACTTTTTTAATTTACTCTTTTTTTTTCTCTTTTCTTTTTTTTCAAACCTACAAATTGGAGTATCTCTCTCTTATTTCAGTTGCCGCTGACAATACATGCAGCCGAACAACAACCCTGACGGCGAACTGTTATTTTCTAGTAACTATCTACTAAACAGTTCAGTACAAGGTCGTGTTTTAAAGCATCAAAATTAAATTAATACTTTACATTTTTTGAGCCCAAATCATAATTTTCGTATTTATTTCATTTGTCATCTATTTGTTTTGTCTTTTGTTGTGTACAGAATAAAATCTTGGACGACTGCAGCACCTGTATTGTCGGCTTCAGCCCCCACCAAGGGCTTGAAGATGTAGCACTCATTTGTCGAGAGTTGCAGCGGTGTTATGACAATCCATTAGTTCAATCCTACATTCGATTATAAATCACATCCTTTGCTGAAGGCAACTTTGACGGGACTGTGGGAAAACCGATGGGGCGGCAAATGTCTGGATTATGTCTGTCCGAGGACTCTTGAAGAACAAACCAGACAACGCTTCATTTGATTAAAGGGATAGTGGCTTTTCCACATTTTCTATATAAAACACATGACTTGTTTTTCTCATAACCAAGGCTAATTGATTAAATCAAGAATGCATCATGGGAACACATGCTGCACATCATTAAGGCAACCTTTTGCCCTTTAGCCAACTTTCTGTGACGCAAATCAATCGTGTAAGAAGAAAGATGGGAACTGTAAACACCGAGTGTGGATGAAGAAGTTCCTGAAATGCCACAATCTTCTAATGAAAATATGGACGATACGGACAAAAACTACAACAGGAATTTCTCCAGAAATTAATAAAATAACTGAATAAATTATAGAAATATATCATTAAAATATATAATCAATGATACATTTTTATACTTAATTATAATAATTACAAAAATACACAATTTTATATCCTGTTACTAAGAATATCTTGTTTTAAGCTTTGATGAAATGGCTTTAATAAATAATCTTTAAATAACAACGATAATTCAGACTCATCAGCATTTGATAAATTACTGAAGAAATTTCTGAGTCAAAATAAAGAAATTATGCTCCGACTAAACGTTTGTATAGCGCTGCAACATAGCGCTCTTAATGGCCACCAATTACATTAATTACCCCACTGATGTGTCCACACACAAACAACACACACAGACACTCACACACAGCTGAGTCACAGCAACACATTTCTGATTTTCTGCTGTGTTAAAATAAAAGGAAATTAAAAACATAAACATCACTACACACACAATATTGAAAAAAAAATGAAAATAAGTGGAAAAGGTGGAAGGATGAAAAGAAATACATGACAGTTGCATGAACATATATATATATATATAGGAGATATGCATGTGAGATAAAAAACATAAATGACCATATATGTAAAGAGATTTCTCTACTCTCATCACCACTGCAGCTGCAACAGTTAATGGTGAATTATACATATTGTCTATGTGGGGAAACAAAGTAAATTAAAGTATAAGTGAATTAAATTAAATTCCAGAAAATGGTTCACGGAGGCCGCTCTGCTCTGTGAATATACAGTATTGTACTGTTGTGGGAAGGAGGAAAAATTAGGTCAAGTACTCACCCAAATGTTAACGCTAAGTGATGGCAGCGACTACAGGATCAGACACCTGAAAAGAAAAAACAGTGTAAGTATACAGCTCAGACATAAAAGGGGAAAATTGAGTTTCAACAAAGAGATGTCAGATCAGACCGGATCTGGATCAGCTGATTTTAAAACTGTCCGATCCTGAGCTGCAGCTGCCGTTCAATTCATCTCTCTGCGTCTTTCATTCTCATCCAGTTGTTTACTTTTAAGAAAGTTAGCATTACAGTGCAGCACCAACTCCTAAAGTGAAACACCAACTTTTGACTGCAGGGGATAAATTCAAGAATGATAATTGTGAGTGAAATTTCTATTTCTGGTGTTGTGAATGTCCTACATTCTGTTTAGATACAGGTAAGGGTGGGGGTGGAATGATTTTTTTTTGTCTCCAGGGCCCAAAGATGTGTATTCCTCTTGCTGAGGAATGCTTTTGTTCTGATAAATTGACATTGTCAGTTTCCCACATTGCCACAGTGTGGCATATACTATAGGGAGCAGTAGTGGGAACACAGATGCTACATACGATTGGCGTCAGTCAATGTGACAGGTCTTGTTTTTTCTTCTCTTTTGAGGGAGGGGGGGGGGGTCTATTTTTCTAAATCTGAACTTCCAAGTCGAGGAAGCAGGAAGGAATAAGAATTAATACACCTACACTCCCCTTCTCCCTTTAGAATGGCAAAAATCTCTTTGTACTCGCATCATAATTACTGGTGGGCGCCAGTTTGGAATTGATATCCATGCCTCCTTCACACTTCTTGTTTTTTTCCCCAAGTATAACACAATGTTTTGAGAACATGCAACTGACAACCAAGTCTTTTCTCAACTTCTCACTCTTCAGTTTCTTTACATTGTGATAATGGAAAGGAGAAAGTGTCGCTTGAAGTGACGTTCCTTGCTCCGGCATGTGCGCCCTGTTTTTCAGACGCAGCGCGAGTAGCCGGGCGCGCAGGAGGTAAAGTAACCGGCTGCCAGGGAGCCGGGGACGTCTTCCTCCGCGGGAATGACGCCGATGAACAAGCTCTAGTTTGGTGTTTTAATGTGTTTACCTTAAAAAATAAGTTTAACTTTCCACTTTTTATTTATTTATTTATTTATTGATTGATTTATCTATTCAGTTGATCCTACAAAAAGAAAATGGTTTCCTTCATCGCTATCATTTAAATGTTTTTTTGAGTTAATGACTATTAAAAATTTACATTAGAAGATGTAAAAATAAATAAATAAATAAATAAAAAATAATACAGTGTAAATATTTTCTGAACCTTTTGCTGATTTTCTCTGTTTTGTCTTTGTAAACTAAAAAATCTGTGGTTGGACTAAACAATGAATTACATGAAAAATACATGAATCGTTAAATAATTATTAGTTGTTGCCTCATATGTTCAATATAGGAATATCAAATACATATTAAATTCAACAGTGATGTATTACTTATAAAAAAAGGAAAGAGAGTAGACAATAACCAGAAAACTGGTGTTAAACTACATGTAGGTGAAGCTGTGAGTATAAAAGAAATAAAAAAGTAAATCTAACCGACACCAGACTGGAGCTGAACACAGACGCTGACAACCTTAAAAAGCTCAGTTCACCCAAATCCACCCAGGACACCTGGAGAGTATCCGGCCTCACAAAGGCCTCTAGTTTCATTTAGATATCTGCAAACTACACTGTGGATACAAAAGGAAAATAAAAGGAGGTTTAATTTGTTCACAAAGTACTGAAAAGTGTCGGAAAAAGGGTCTTTTTTTTTTTTTTTTTTAGAAGCAATGTCCCGTTTCAGAAGATGTCACGGAGCTCATTTGATATTTGCATCCTCTCCTCTAACACCACCACAACCACCATCCGCTTTCTCTCCAGTGTCACCATCAAGGCCACACTTGCACTGTTTACATAAACCACCAACTATTGTGTATTCTACCCGTACACAGTCGACTGAGAGCGTAACAGCTAACTGGGGACCTTATTACACTAAGTGTTTGGGGAATATGCCTCACTTCCTGTTTGCTTGTCTTGCTATCAACTTAAATTGTGCACCACCGCTATGTGGGTTGGATATTTTATTTATACTTTTATTTACCCAGGGTAGATTTACTGAGCTCTAATGTTATTTTTCAGCAGCTCCATCCCTCTCACACACACACACAAAAACACACACACACACAAACACACACACACTCAAATGCTGATGAATCCACTCACTTCCTAATACAAACAACAGTCTTTTTTACCACAGCAGACAGATTTTCTACAACTGCAAAATAGCCATAATCATAGAAATCCATGTATTAAAAACCAGTGTTCACAATGATTTTGTGTTCAGCTTAGAATTCTACCAAAACAAAAAAGAAAAGAAAAACTTTCACCAATTTCTGACCCATTGCTGTGATTTATTTATTTTTTTCTCTTGAGGATCGGGGGGACTTGAAACCTGTCCACTAAATTTGATTGATCTCGCAGTCTCTGAGTTACAGATCCAAACAAAAACAAAACGGCTTTCAGCACGTTCTGTGCTCAGACATCTGGAGAAGTATCCAGCTGAAAAGCAGTTGTGTAATTGGTGATCTGGCCAGAAAATGGTGGAAAACACGTCAGAGGGGCTCATGGATTTGTGTGTGTGTGTGTGTGTGTGTGTGTGTGTGTGTGTGTGTGTGTGTGTGTGTGGTTGTGTGTGTGTGTGTGTGTGTGTGTGTGTGTGTGTATGGCTCTCAGCTGCCAACCCAATAAATTGAAAAACAGAATTGTGACGTTGCTAATGCTGGTGCTACAGGACTGTACCTGTGAGGCAGCGATGGGGCAAACAGCAGCAGGAAATATTTTCACTTTCACAGTTTACATCCGAGGGCGGCACAGTGGTGCAGAGGTTAAGCCTGTCGCCTCACAGCGAGAAGGTTCTGGGTTTCGGACCTGCAAGTCTGCTCGTTCTCCTCGTGCCTGCGTGGGTTTTTCCTCCCACAGTCCAAAGACGTGCGAGTTAGGTTAACTGCCCGTAGGTGTGAATGTGAGCATGTGTATGTCTCAGCTTTGTGATTGTGACCGCTGACCTGTCCACGGTGAAAGACGTCTTATAAACTTACAGTCAATAAAACAACATGCTTCTTTAAAACGAAACAGGCAGCTCTTGAATTCAAACCATCTTCAGGCTGTTTTCCAAGACAACAACAACAACAACAACACAACTCGACCCGTCGACTACAGCTCTGGTCTCATAGTGCAAACACACACACAGAACATACATTGTGCTGTAAGTGCTATAACACATCTGCCCTAACTAATTCCATCTCTTAATGAATTAAAAGAAATAAAACATGAAATCGTTCAGGCGAAACGTACCTATGGTTGAACCTAACTCCTGCCCCGTGCCGTCAGGAAAACTTTCCTGATCGTTACCTGCACTGTTCAAATGTCTCCTCCGGCAGAACGAGTCCAAAAAAGGCCAAATCATCGACTGCAAATGCCGTTTTAATGGGAGCAATTTCCCCATGTGCCTGACAGTGAACAGCAAAACTGAAAAGGTTGTCATTCCTCTCTCACATTGGCACGGCATATTTCTATAAATACAAAACATTAATCGATGGCAAACTACCAATATTCATCGGGCAGGCTTTTAAAATTGGACACAAACTGAACTGAACTGAACTGAACTCTGCCCCCCCCCCTCCCCACTTCATTGTTTTGGAACTACAGTTCCCATCAGACTTTAGCAGATATAAGCAGGAATCATTATGTTGTCATGGATTCAGGGACTTACACATGAACTATGAACTTCAACTTGAATCCAACAACTAATCGAATTATCGAAATTGTGATACGGTCAAGAGCAATAATCCACATCAAAGGAGCTGCAAGTTTTTTGATAAAGGTCGAATTTATCTGCTTTAAAAGAAGCTCCAGCTTACAAACCATATTCTCCACACATTTCTTTTTTCTTTTCAGTGAAAATGAAATGCAAAAATGATCCTTTTAACTGAAACCTTCACTCATATTGCAGCTGTAACATCTGCCAAAAATAATTGCGATGTGACTTTATTTGCGCACCGTTCAGATTTATTAAAATTGAATCAGCTGTTAGCGGTTCCCCTTTGCACCGAGCAAGATTCATTTCACTGGACTTAAAAGCACCAAGATCCTCAGGTGAGTTTCAGCGTTCTGATGAAAATAATGTGCGGATCCGTTTCTGACCTCGACCACTTCTCTATCTCTGGCTGAGACCTTACGCAACCGCACCTTATTACCCACGTTTTACTTCAGTATTTACATGAGATTAAATTGGGTTAAATGGGCCTTTCATAAAGATCTGCCATCACTCAGAAATGTTCGGGCATATTTTCTTTGATGGTCAAATAAAATGAGCCAATTTCATCCAATGCCACATCCATTATGATAACTTAGGTATTTTCAGTCGTGTAGTCAGTGGGGGAAAAAACACAATGAGCTAAATACTCAAATTATCAAAGTCATTAGACATTCAGAGTAATTTGCTATCAAACCAAAGTGATCATCCAAGTACATTAGACCATTAGCACAATTCAAAAGAGCCACAATCTGTCAAAGAAATGTAATTTAGGCCCTGAAAAGGTCTTTATTCATCAGGCTACGACGGACGGCGGGAACGAGACTAAAAACAAGTGTATATGCGTCACATCATTCTAACCTTCATCTTTGTCTTCGTGCTGCACTTTGCTGCTTCTATAGACTGTACAGCGTATGATGTGCTGTCAATACTCGTGATGCCTCTGCTGACAATGGCTAACCCCAACATTCTTGTCATATACGTCTGACAAAGCCGAGGAGCACCGGGTCCATTTTCTCTGTGGGCACATGCTTTCTAAGTGCTCCTACAATAGACGGATTGATTGGACCTTAATGTTTACAGCCTGAAAAGGCAGACCAATGAAAAATACATATCCCTGAAAACACCTTGGCCTTTTTCCCTGAGCTTTATGGTGTATTTATAACCACTTCTTTACAGCATCGCAGCAAAGTGAAAAGCATGTTCAGATTAAATTAGTTACCTTTTCTGAACTA